AGTCAATAACTGCAGTTTTGGCAACTTTGAGCTCCATTTTTTAGTATTTTGTTTTATTGTTTTGGTCCACTTACTGTGTTCATCAGTTTCATTTTTGGCAGCAACAGGCAGCAGTTTTCAGAGAAACAACTGTGCATTGCCTTCTCAGCACCAAACAAACAAACTTTCACATACATTTGAGCATTTAGCAGCTAAAAATCCAGATAAATCTGTCAGGACTTGGTAGTTAGCTGAGATATGACCAGCTAAAAGGAGCCCCTGTCTGGTGGATGTGTACCTAAGGTCAAAGGTCAAAGTGTTTATTTGTCATATGCACAGTTAGGAAACATGTTTCCCTGTACAATGACATTCTTACTTTGCTGTCTACATGAATGCCACAAAATACAAATGAAATATAAAGTAGATAAGTAAGTAACACTAAATCTAAGGCACTTTAAGCAGCAAATGCAGAGATATAATAAAAATCTATAAGAATATAATAAGAGAATGTATGCTGCATGGGAGCAGCATGTGTAGCAGTCAACAGTCAAGAAATGGTAGTGTAGCTGTCTGCTGATAACATCCCTTTTTTTCTACTGTATTATGTAGAGCAACAATGCAAGAATTGGGTGATTGAAGTTTATTATAATACCCACCAAACCAGTTCTAATAGTGGACTGAATTGAAGAGTTGATCATAACAGTTTCTGAAAAGTCTCCAGTCATGTCCTGTTCTTCAAGGTGTGTAGCATTTGTCGATACCAAGGGATTATTTTCCTGTTCTCGAACAGACTTTGGTTTTGACATTTTAAACAAACAGAAAAGGTAACATGCCTGTGCTGTTTGTTTGGACCCACGACCTGTCGCTGAACGCTCAAGATCTCTTTCTGTTGGCCGCTTTTTGTCTTGCTCTGTCCATGGTGCTGAAAGCCTCCATTCACTGTAACTGTCGACAGGGGCTTTCTTTCTCAGTGACCTTAGACTTGTATTTCCATTAAGAATAGCTGGCACATACTTGAAAAGCCAGAAAGATTTGTTCTGAACAGAGCAGCTCCCAGGGGCACTGAGAGCACTGTGAGGTTTGATCAGACACATTACCCTGGCTATTATAACCACAGTAGCATAGGTTTAAAAAGTACCTTTCAACATTGAATGTGAGGGGCTGTTTAAGTTCTGTGATACATCAGACCTGCTCTGTTAAACACAGCGAGGATAGCTTTTGTCGTTTCCACGTGTCCAGTTGACAAGATATGAGGGGATAATTTTAGCAGCATGATTATTTGCACAGTGGCCCAGCAAGATAGAAGAGGTTTCAAGTACACATGGTATAATTTGTTGCTAAATTATAGAGGCCACTGTGTTTAGAAATAGTAAATAGCAGGTAGCAATTTGCAGCATTAATGAGCTCTTATTTAACTACAGACCTGTCACATGTTTGCAGTTTCAAAGGAAATAAGAAAGACAGGCTTTTTGCCCAGCATCTTCACTTCCTCTCTGTGAGCAACTCTTGACCAAGTTGTTCCATCAAAAGGCTTTTATAACTCAGCCTTGTTGTGTAACATACCTGAGGCTTGTTCCTGTATCTGACTGAGCTGGACTTTATAGTTTCTAGGTCGATTCTCTTGACAAGATAATCCCACCTAAACTGTTGTTGGATTATCGGTTAAAATAAACCTGTTCATTTGAGGGGTTGCTGCATGCTCATTGTGTAATCTGACATCTTAATGAAACTTACCAAATAAATATTTTAATTAGGACTAGACTAATGGTGATGTTCCCATTTTGTTATTGATACTGATACTTATGAATTAAAAGCTTGTTTTTTGTGCTTGTGAGTTACTAGATACATTTACATCATCAGTGGATGCTGAAACAAGGCGTACAACATTTTTGCTTCTTAAGTGGACTGAGGCTACATCCACTGCATTTTTTACAGACTACATCCCTAAAGCTGTTGAGGACAGTCCTTCCTTAAATCCAAGGCAAAGAGCAGCTTCAACATGTGGAGCATGAGAGGGAAAACATTCCCTGGATGCCCACAGTGCAGTTTTACTAATATCAAATAGTAGTTATTAATACTAATGTGAGAGAAAAAATACAGGCTTTGTCCTGCACTTCTGTGGGGGCCAGTCTACAAATGAACTCAGTATGTTGTTTGAGCCAGGTTACAACCATCCATCCATCCATCCATCCATCCATTATCTATAGTATACCACTTAATCTTGAATAGGGTTGCGGGGAGGTTCCGACCAGCACTTACTTATTAGTTTGGCGACCTTTCCATGATGATGGAGTTCAGGTACACATGTCATTGTAGGTTTGTGTTTATGACTGTTCCATGATCACAAAGCTTGGTAAAGCTTGCAGCTGTTATGTATGTTGCTGTTAACATTGAAGATATTCTGACAATTGCGCCTGCTAACATGAAAATGCTATTTCAGGAAATGCCCCTGTGGGTATGAAAAGAAAGGGGACAAACACAGGGGTCATAATAGTTTGGAGGACTAGTCGTCCCCTAAATGTACTGAACTCTCAGATACACTTACAGACCCACTAAGCTAATGTTAGCTTTGCTAAAATGAAGAAGACTAACATAGAGAAGTAAGGTTTGGAAACATCTTGGATGGAAAAAGTGGATTAACGTAATGCCTATTTGTTTATGCTGTAAACTGCTCCTTTACATTAATGTCAGGTTGTCACCGAAGTGAGGAAACAAAAACACACCTGTTGAATGGAATTACAACTCTGCCTCAGGCTAGGCTACATGGGTTGTGTTCAAACTAATCAATATAAATGGTAGTACAAATTCATTCTAACTTTATTATTTGAATATGTGACAACCCTATGATGGACATTTTATCCACGGATTCCAATGTTTTTCACTATAAATAAACGTTTTAGAGTTTAACTGCATAGAACTTTATTCTTAGCAAAATGTAGTTTTGAAACTATGTTTATCTTCATATTAGCAAATAAAAAGTAAAGACAGAGCTAGTTATACTATTGTTCAGGGGTTCAACAGGGCAGAGCATTAAATGTGCAAAGGTATTTCAATATCTACAAATCATTACTGGATTAATTATCACTATTCTTCTGTATGCTTTTCTTATTCAGCAAATCCAGGCATACTGTGGAGATACAAAAAACAAACAAACAAAAAATGAAATGCTACGTCTGCCATCTTTAATCAAACAGGGTCACAAACACTACAGTGTGTCCATAGCGGTCACTCCTTTCCTCTATGTGCAGAGTCACAAGCTTAGTTGTCAACATGTCTTTGTGTGAAAGTGCTGGAGGAAATATGTGTGTGCTCATGAAATTATTAAAAGCATTGTACGAGCTCAGTTGTTACACTACAGTAGCGCTTTAGCCTAACAGATGTTCCTTTTTTCTGGAGACTATGTATGTGTTCACGTGTGCATGAGTGCAAGTCTATAGCTGCCGAGTATGCCTTAAGTCACATGTCATTGCTTTGATGAAAGAGCCCAGTGGGAAATAGGATTTTGTGCCACGGAATGGTGTGGTTAAGACAACAAAAGAAAGACATTGGGAAGAGAAAGTGAGATAGTGAAAAAAAGGATTCAAGTTTTATGTTTACCTGCGAGTGGTGCTTTTCTATATTGTTGTCATAGCAACAGCAGCTCACTGTATTTGTGTGTGCGCGCATGCTGTGTACATTTGTGCCTTTGTATTACGTACATTATGGGGAAGGAAGCCTGTTAATACACTCACATTGTGGAGACTTGGCCATCCTTGTGGGGACCAGCTTCTAGGAATCACTGAATTTTAGGGTGGCAACATAGTTTAAGATTAGGATGAGGTTAAGGTTAGGTGTTAGGCAGGTAGTGGTTATGGTTAAGGTTAGGATTGGTCTATAGGAAATGAATGTAAGTCAATGTGAAGTCCCCACAAGGAATAAAAACACAGTGGGGTGTTTGTGTGTGTGTGTGTGTGTGTGTGTGTGACAACAAGGGATGTAATTCTGCCTGTCACCAGTGTAGCTAAGAGCCGACCTCCCTGATCCTGGTTGCCATGAGACCAGACAGACACAGCCTCTGCTTCAGTGATAAATCTCTTCTCTTGACACTCAAATCACTTAACAGATGATGTACATTTTGTTTTCCAATATAGGCCTATGTCAAGATAAATGTCTACTGCCTGGTTGTGTATTACTCAAATGTAATCATTTGAAAAGTAATGTTACTAAAATGACGAGGGTGAATATTAGCTTCAGGAAAAGTAATTAGCTAACTATGCATATCTACTTCTTTAGCTATCAGCTGGCACTAGTTTACTAGCTACAGTAATTAATATTTTGGACAAATTGTAGTATTTCTTTTTAGCCAAAGCAATGTGTGGTTCCAGGAAATCAGTCAGCTCAGTGGTATGTCTGACATATGAGGACATATGAGCAAGGGCAGAAAGCGTTCCAGTTCTTTCTTTTAATAAGGATAGTTTCAGTTGATTTATATGTCATTTACACAGTCAGGATTTTTGAACGATATCTAAGGTGCCCAAATTTAGCCAGCCAGCTGCTCCCAGGCAGGAAGTGATAAGGCCAGGTAGAGGAAAGTTGGAGTGGGAGGGGATATTTCCACATAAACAATCCAGTATGAATCAGAATCAGAATCAGGTTTATTGGCCAGGTGTGTTGGACATGAGGAATTTGACTGTGCTACAGTGGCTCTCAATGGGCAGGTACATATCCCCATGCAAGGGGCAAGTAAACAATATACCAACATAAGGCTGTGTAGTATAACAAAATAAACAGTATAAACAGGTAATAAAAAATGCAAACAGACAAAGACAATGTTCATTAGGAGACGAGATAAAAATAGAATAAAAATGGAGGACGTAAACAAAATCAGAGACCTGTACGGATCTGTATAATCAGACTAGGGAGTCTTTGAGTCCTTACTGTTACAGAACAGCTAAGCTAACTAAAGAGGTTAGGGCATTATTGTAGGACATTATTTTTAAAGGCAGGCAAAGAAATGTAACATTTACCTTGTTTTATTTTAGAGAGGCCCTGAAATGACGGAAGTAGAGCCAGTGTTGGACTTTGCCTCCTCAGGGCGCTCGGGGAGGCGAAACGCTCTGCCTGATATTCTGGGCTCTCCAGCAGGTGTAAACCCTGGTGACCTGCCTCTTAAGCTGGCTGAGCTGTCCCTCAAAGGTAAAGTACACCACTTGTCTTTTTTATTGATATTGGGCACAAGCCAGATTGAAATTGTAATTAGCTTGTAAATTGAATTTATAGTGGTCTACATGCATTTGTGTGAAAGGTCTAAAGTTAGCAGGCCGTAGCTGATTTGGGGGATATATTTTTTTTTCATAACATAGCCATAGGAGGATTATTGAATGGGCCTATTGGGCACAGGTCCAGGGGCCAAAGGGCTTAGGGGGCCCCTGGACCAGAGTCTCTGTGTTAAGTGATATTTTTTGTTGGAATGCCAGTGAAATTACTTGAAAAACACACAACAACCATAGAGAGAGACCCAAAATTACTACAAAGACCACAAACAACTGCTTATAGAATGACCAAACAGAAATGTACATGACCACCAAGACTCAATACAGCTACACAAAGCCTCAAATCAACTACTTCTAGACGTAACACAAAAAACATAAAAACACAAAAATACTAGAAAAACCTGAAAATCAGCCAAAAGACGTACAAAGGGACCCATACGTGACTGCAAATAGAGAAAAAATGGCCACTTGTTTATAGTCATTTGTCATCTCTTTCAGTCAGGGCCTGTTTTGCTCTACTGTAGGAGGGGTGAGGGGTCTTTTACGTGTCTGTGCCCAGGACCCATTGTCTCACAATCCATCCATGACTATATCCAAATCTAACATGATGACATGTCACTTCCAGTTCAAATCCAAACGGATACTGATACATGTAGTTGAGTGACAGTGCCTGCCCATGGCCTGGTGCATATGGCTGCCAAATATGGCAAAGATTTGAGGGGATGAAGACTAAAGTTCTTTTGGCCTGAGTCAGCTCCAGTTAGAAGCTTTGGGACCAGCTTTGGTCAAGGATTGCCACTTGGGACTAACTAAGCAGTTTCATGGAGGAACTGTCCTAAGTCATTCATCACAACTGAGTGGGGGCCACCAGGACCACTGCAGGGCATAGTAATTTTGGCTACATGGGCAGAAAGCAAATGGGCATGCCGCTACCTGTAAATCAAATACAATGACCCAGTTTATCCTTCCAGACCCATCTCTGTGCACTCTCAAGTCTTGACTTGCAGACTGTTCTGTTTTGTGCCTCCTCACTGGCTTTGTTGGCAATTAAATAACAATGTTTTGCACATTGTGTGTTTGTAAGCACAAACTATCTGAAATAAGCAAGTCTCTCTACGATCCTAGAGTTATGGACACCATGCATTTTCCCTTATATCCTGAAATTGGCCTTAGTTGTTTGGGAAACAGTTAGTGAAAGAAGCAATTGGTGCTATGGTACTCCTGGTGAAACTAGCCCTCCACATATGGGGCCATAAATGAACTCAGACAAAACTTGTAGGCACCTAATTAATGTAATGGTCATTAACTCATTTGTATCACTCAACATAGGCTTTGGACAGTCTAATTCCTTTTTTTATGCCCTAGAAACTAACTGTAATATATTTCTTAATGTGTCTTACTGGGTTTGTGTGCAGATGGTCCTGGAGGGGCCCAGTCACCCACAGTGGAGACTCCAGCACCGCCAGAGAGCTCAGAGGGCAAAGAGGGATCATAGGGACTTGTTTATATCCCTCCCCGTAGGCCTGCAGAGATAACCTGAGGGATAGGATGAGGAGCTATACAGGGGGTGACTTGTGGGAGAAAGAGCGATGATCTGTTAAAAGTCAGTCTGTGTGCGGAGCGACCGAGCCATGCAGGGAGAGTGACGGTGCAACTGCCCAAGGGCTGGAGCCAGGAGCTTAGGACTGCTTGGCACTCAGCACCCTCTGAAAAGGGTCAGGCGTCACTTAGGCTACAAACCAGTGAGCGTGTGTGAGTTACACACTCACTACAGACACTACACTAAGAATCGAAGGGACCATGACAGATTGTATATTGTACACAACTATTTTTGTATGATTTATTTGAAACATAAGTCAAACTGTATAATTTCCTTGTATTTCCTGC